CACCCAATCTGAATCCACAATGCCGAGCCACCGCCACTACCGGAGCTGCTGTCTTCCACTATTGATCTCGAACCACCGAACATGGAATTAGTTGTCAGGTTTCATGTGATTCCTCTGACCCAGGAGTTATGATGATTCTGACCATTCCCGTCCACCTTAACACAAACTAGTTTGACTTAACTGGCTTGGGAAAAATGAAAAAGAAGTGCCCAAGGCAGCTGAAGATATCACCACGAGGTTTCTATAGACTCAGTCACAGTGTATCTTTGTCCAGGGCTGGGGCTGGTTCTAGCTATGAGTACATACCATTCCCTGACTCTTGATTCAAATGCTGCCACTGGCCCCAACCATTTGAACTTTAAAAGGCATCTAGGCCTTTTCAAGTCCAAATTTCCTCTCATTAAAATGTAAGCCAAATCTTGTGCTATGGGGCCAGCGCCAAATGCTGAATGGGTTGCAAAACTTCTGCGCATCAGCCTCAGATTGGTTAAAATGAAAAAATCCACTGTTTTAGGTAGCATTGCTCATGCATTGCCCTTTAGATGAGCCAAACTTCTGTCATCTTCTCCGATTTGGTCGTTTCAACTCATCCAAAAAATATTAGCCCTTGTGATCATAATCCCAAGTAGTAGATTTCCAATCAGTTGTATGCCAGCTCGTCGCGTGAAAGAAAGTCTACGAGCAAGGCCGTGTAAGCAGCTCACACGGCCAGACACGGCGACAAGGACGGGAGTTCAGACATTCGGAAGATGTCGGGATTTCGTGGCCGGGCCTATGCCACTCCACCGCCAAAACAATGGCAAGTGCATGGTGCGGGGCCCCAGGGTCTGCAAGACACCCCGGAAAGCTCCGAGACAAACAGCTAAAGCTAGGTACCTTGTGCTTCAATTGGCAAGTCACTACTTCGAGGTTGGACCCTCACTCTTATATAAAGATTGAATGTCAACCATGGCTAAGAAGCTTGCCTACATCTGTGAATTGGTACATGGACGCCCCCATGCACACAAATATAATATATAATTATTGGCCACTGCCTTCAATTTGATGGGCTCAGATTGCATTGTTCTGCAGAAAGCACCAGACTTGCACCGTCACTGTTATGGCTATCGAAATGTCAAGATCTGCACATGTAAAAGGCCACTCTGCACACTGGGGCCTTTCACGATATCCTGCACATTTCGCACGTTGGACCAGGGCTATGCAGTATTGAAAGCAGCAATGAACGCAGATCATCACATCTACATCGAACGGACACGGTTCAATATTGGCTGCCCAAAACTAAGATCATGTGATGATCATGTGGGAAACTCAATACCATGACTTGCCATAAACATCATATATAATATAAACTATAAACCATTTGGGGATATTCGGGGAAGTTTAGAGCTATAAAAATGGAGACCTTGCGGATGGTTTATGGCATTGGGTTTATCACATGAAATACAACCTCCAGCCACCTCCCCGACTCGGTCACCCGGTCGCTGCAAAATCGAGGTCTGTTTATTAAACAAGCCCTGCAAACACTCAAAAAATATGGGTCATTTCAAAGGGAACCCTATAAAGTTCCATAGCTAGCTATGTTAAGTTTACTGGAGTGTCTCATGATGATACTGCTGAATGATCATGATCTGCACATCCAAGCATCCAATTGGTCCAAAGCATGGCTAGCAATGACACATCCCATACTTGGTAAATATGGAAGTGGGCAACCCTCATTGCAACAGACCACAGCTACCATGCAATGCAGGTCTCTGTGCCAAATGCAAGAACAACGTGCTATAAGAGAACCACTCTTATTGATGGCAACCCTGATTATCAACTGGTTTTTGAAAGATTTGGTTTCTCAAACATATGCACAGTTACCACTAGGGATAATTTGCTTGGCCACGTGAAATTGTGAACATTCTGCAGCACCTGTTTCCACGTCTCTTAAGCTTGGGACCCCTGGTTCGCTAGCGACCAATTGCCCCGGTCCAAACGCGTATGGACAGCTGACTTAAAAGCATTCACTTGACTTGCGACGTCTGATTGATGCCACCCAATCGGATTGATCATCTTAAAACTTCTGACTTCTGGATCTTCTGGATGAAGATTTGAAACACATTTCTATGTAGCGCAGTCATGTCCGGCGTATTATGTAGTGATTTGATATATTGCTCATGACACTGACATTGACACCCGGACGATACTGTACCTGGCTAATCATGTGAATGAGAAACTTATGTGTCAAATTCGTATGAAGTTGTGCATGTGCTGCGGGTGGAAAAATATACGTCCTCACAACACGCAATGGGTCGCGGTGCAAGCAGCTTTCAAACATTACAGCGAAGGGGATTCAAGCACGAATCGATACTGACTCTAGTTGAATCCTCCTGTTACTTCTCAGTCTCCACTTCGAAGCGTTGATCTTTGGAGATCAACGTCTTGAAATACTCCTACAAGGCCCTCAGATCTCAATTCCCCCTAGAACAGATGGATCCCTCAAGCGCTCAGTTCCTGAATATGCATGCGGAAATCTATCCCTTTGAGCTCAGTTGCCAGCATCTGTATCAGTGTATCATATCAACAGGTTGCACTCTAGACTCAAATGGTCATCCATATGACATCATACCAGGTCATACCAGTTGCCGGTCAGCTCGATGAAATCTGCGCTGTGGAACAGCCATGTTTTTGTTCCTCAGATCCCCATGATTGTTTGGGAGGTTACCCTCTGGTAAGCTAACATAGCTATGGAAAATCACAACGTTTCATAGCTAAATCATGGTAAATCAACTGCAACCATGGGCCATGTGTCAATAGCAAACTGTGAAATTACTAGATGGATCTAGATGGTCACATTACATTATCATTACATCCCCGCAACAGTTCCATCAAATCACTGTTCAATGACAGGTTAGATCCTGTTCATGATCAGATCAGCTCACACCGAGGACCCGAAAGGACTCTCCTCACTCAGGCGTCGGGTCACCATCAGGGGGGGGATGTTGTCAGGGCCCATGATCACCTTGATCGCAGGGGCCTTGGATGCCGGCAACGGATCTATTTCTAAGGCAGTTTATTAAGGTGAACAACCTGCAGGAAACAGTGTTTTTTTTTAAGGGATAAATATGCTATAGGTGAAAACCACCATGATTATATACTATTATAGTATAATTATAATGTATTACAATTCAAACCTATAATTATCACGTATTCTCTCGTGCAATTGATCCTATAACCAGCATTTTTGGGTGATTTACTGTAGCAAGTCATGCTGATCTTACCCACCTTATGTTGAATAGATCAATGAAACCATCCATCCAATGCACCACCAAAATCCACCAACCAAAATGCATGTTAGTTAAAATCACCGATCAATAGTTCATTTTAATTCATTTTAGCCATTGAAATAAATCTGTTAGCCTATAAAGAACCACCATCACGTGACACCAAAAGGCACGATGGACATCATCTCCAGGACGAGCAGCGAAAATGGCTGCCATGGTGGATGTAGGGGATAAAACCACAGAATCGAGAAATCAAGGTGGTGGAACTAATGGGAAGAGGGGATATGATCAAAAATCACATGAAATCTCATTTTTTTTCTCCCATTTAAATCCCATTAAACCACCATTTCTGATGGTTAAAAACCAGGGATACTCAATGACATATTCCCAGGGATATTCCCATTCAACCACCATTTCTCACGTTGAAGACCTAGGAGTTCCACCATGGCGCTGGACATGACATGCTCTTGGTCTCTACTTGGATCAAGGCAGCCGGATGCCCGTCCACGGTGACCAGATCTCCTGGAGTTCACTCATGGGGAGATGGCCTCAAGTCCTAGACTTGGATGAAAGGGAGAAAGTGCAGGAAACACACACACATGCATATATATATATATGATATGATATGTGTGTTGTATGTAGATCATGTAATGTACAAACATATATATATATACACATGATCATATGTGTGAAACACTCGTAAGAGCATGCACTTTCAAAACAACAACAACAACAACAACAACAACAACAACAACAGGATGTGCCGCCCGTGTCCTGGTAGAAGCTCCTTGGCTTTCTTTGTCCCGGCGCCGGCGCCCAGCGCGATGCAATGATCTGGCACCACCCGAAGGATCCTGAGAGGTGACCATTGGGACGTTGGTATCAGACAGTGATAAACTTTCTCCATTAGTATGATGGTTACTGTCAAGGAGGAAACATGATTAACCATCAGCATTAATACTAAAGTATTAACTTTAAGGATGATTAACCATCAGTATTAACCATTAGTATGATTAACTTTCCCAATGATTAATACTGATGGTTAATCATCCCTAAAGTTAATATGATGAACTTATGATCGTATACTCTGCAAGCCAGATTGTAAACCTGTATCATTAACTAACGGTTATTAACCATCATTGACCAGAATCATGATATTCATTGTATTCATAGATGGTCATCCATTATATCCCCATAGTATCCAAATTATACCAGCATATCGGTTGGTTCAGTCACCAATGTTTGATGTGTACTGTAAATTATATGTTCATTCATTCTTCAAAAATCGTCTACAATGTTTACAAATAGATAGATACGTCTATCTATTTGCACATGGTTGCTCAAATACTCTCTTTTATCTATGAAATTATGCGATTACTAAGATATAACCCAGATATACCCAGATTGCCTATGCTATTTTAACATTATATATATATAACAATGTACTAATCTGAAATAAAGCCATATTTAAATAGCTATCCTAGTAACATCTAGTAACCATCATTCCAGTAAGGTCGCAGTGAGGTCGTCGATTCTCATCCATCATGCCCCCACTATACCACCATTGTTGTTGCTTGAGTCAATATTCTTGATGGTTGATAATCATGTTGAGTCCCCATTATATTCCCACGATATTCCCATTAAGTCCCATTAAACCACCATGTCGAATGCTTTAAGTTGGTTAAATCCCATTGAATCCCATGAAATCACCATTTTTAGTTGCTTAAATCCCATTAATATCACCACTTTTAGTTGGTGAAATCTCATTTAGTTGGTGAAATCCCATTACTGTAAATCACAACTTTTAGTTGGTGAAATCCCATTAAATCACCACTTTTAGTTGGTCAATTCCCATTGAATCACCAGTTTTACTTGGTATTACTTGGTTAAATCACCATGAAAGCTGTTTATATCTTCGGTCTACCAAGGCACACGTCGCCAGCCCAAAGCTCCAGCACTTCGTTCACCAAGACCTCCTGCGGATGATCCAAGACCTGGCGGCGGTGGGAATCTGACGATGGGAGAAGAAAATGGTTTGTATCAAGAGTGAAAATCATGCAACAATCATGGGAAAATCAAGGGAAAATGGTTGATGGATGTTGATTTTTCAATGGTAAAAGGTGGGTTGGTTGATGCGGAGCCGGTGGCCGTCATGGGGTGGTGTGCCGCTGTTCAACCGCGTCATGGAGGGCAAACACGCTGCTGATTCATGCTGGGGTTTAATGGAGTTTAATGGGGTTTCATGGAATTTAAACAACATGAACAGGGATGTTACCCTATGGTTATTTAAGATTGCTATGGAAAATATGGGAAAATCACCAGAAAAATAATAGGTAAATATGTATGAGTAAATAATCCATAAATGGACAGCGGACATGCGGATCTGAAGCATCCACACTCCGTGATCCCAAGCGGGCGGGTATCACGAAGTAGAAACCGAAGAGAAACTAACAAAGGGGTGCAACTACAATTACGAATTACTGCCGTGTCTTTCTCAGTTTTTTCCATGGCTATGTGAAATTACCAAAGGGTAGTAAAACAATAATAACCCACCCATATGGATTGATGGTGCATACTATCCATAAAGTGGTTTTCCGTAAATTTGGGGATGGTGGATCCTATTGCTTTACTAAGATTAAATTGGATAAGACATTCTTGGACGTGAACGTGGATATGGGATATGGGATGACAGGGGTCAGTGGGATATGGGTCAAGTTGGATGTCAAACTTGTGCGAACTTGAACGTCCAAAGGTTGGATGGTTTCCTGCTATTAAAATGTACCAAAATTTGCAGCGCCCCCGTCTTCAGTATTGAGAGATAGCCCATTGGAATTTTGAAGAATACATCACGAACTAACCAACCAAAGCT